ATAGTTCTTCAGCTCACTTTATGTCTCCTGACTTCCAGAGAAAAGTGTCTGATACTCCTGCCCACTTGAACATTTCTGTGACTTCGAGGTCAGCCTGGTCTACAAAGCGAGATCCAGGACAGGCACCAAAACTACCCAGAGAAACCCTGTCTTGAAAAACTAAAGCCGGGCCTTGAAAAACCAAAGCCGGGCGGCGGTGGTGCATGCCTTTAATCCCAGCACTCAGGAGGCAGAGTCAGGCATATCTCTGTGAGTTCAAGGCCAGCCTGGTCTACAAAGTGAGTTCCAGGAAAGGCACAAAGCTTCACAGAGAAACCCTGTCTCGAAAAACAAAAACAAAAACAAAAAACAAAAAACCATGTAATGACATTTAAAGTCGAGCGGTGGTGGCGCACGCCTTTAATCCCAGCACTCTGGAGGCAGAGGCAGGCAGATCTTTGTGAGTTCGTGGCCAGCCTGGGCTACAGAGCGAGATCCAGGAAAGGCGCAAAGCTACACAGAGAAACCCTGTCTCGAAAAACAAAACAAAACAAAAAAAAGAATGTAGTACACCTGTGATGCTTAATAAGACAAATCACAGTAATGTATGCCTATAGTATCTTTTTAAAAGGAGGTGCAAATTTTCCCTTTGATTCCAGCAATGTATTCTATATGGCAAAGTACCAGTATGGCAAAGAAACCCTATAAATAGAAATCTATTAATCACAAAATACAACAGATCTTGGTTTTTTTGTTCTTGTTTGTTTGTTTTTTGTTTTTCAAGACAGGGTTTCTCTGTGTAGCTTTGGCTGTCTTGGAACTCACTCTGTAGACCAGTCTGGCCTCAAACTCACAGAGATAAGCCTGCCTCTGCCTCCCAAGTGCTGGGATTAAAGGTGTTGCCACCCCCAGGCTTTTTTTAAAATGTTGTTTTGCAGTGCTGGGGACTCGGGGCTTCCCAAATGCTAGGAAGTGCTCCACTGAACCACTGAGCTACCTCCCTGACCCAAAAAAGTAACAGACCTAAAACTATTAGGGAGCTGTACTCTTGGATATGGTTTAAGTTTTCTTTTTCCTGCTCAGGGTTACAAGTAGGAAGGGCTACCCAAATAAACAAGGGGACTCTGTAACAGGTAAACTGTACACTGAGGTATAACTACCTCAGACCTTTCGAAGTACAAATGAATTCTAACTGATAAATGTGCCCATTATCTGACTTCTGGCTCTGTGACTATAAATGGAAAAATGTTTTATTTAGCTTTCTAGTGGAGTGGAATGGAGAATGTATCCTGCTTAAAATAAATTTATATACCAAAAATAGATTTTCATTTGTTCAGAATTTTAAAATCTAGATTCAAAATTGATGTCTCTAATAACAGTCAAAGCACTGTTTTCTGAATTGTGATAATTTGATTATTCCTAGTCGAGTATGCATTAGATCTCAATTTACTGAAAACTGCCATTTCTGGGTTTACTGAAAATAAAATGGCCAGTGGTTCATTTAATGAGATCCTCACTTCCATTATTTGAATAGAGACAATTATTCTGTATGGCATATAGCACAGGAACATAAAAGTATGATACTCACACTTGGCGTACAGACAGTCCATCATTGACTGCACTAAGTCCAGTTTGGCTTTAATGGAAAAGTTGATGAAGTTGGTATCAACGAGGATATGGTAAGGTGGACCCAGTTGTGTATTATACTGGAAGAACAAGCAGGAAGGATGCTGGGGGCTGGAAGGAGAAAGAAAATAAGATCACAAACTAAAGTCTGTATCAATAAGTTTGATGTTAATGAAACCAGAAATGAAGCATCTGCTGGGGAGTTCATCACAGGCAACTGTCCTTTCCCCTCGTTCACTGCAAGCAGTAGTCAGGAAAGGGGCCGAAGTCGCTCAGCAATTAAAAAGAGGTTCTACTGCTCTTGCAGAGGGCCTGGATTCAGTTCCTAGCATCGACATTGGGTGTTCCTAACTGCCTGTGATTCCAGCTTCAGGAGATCCTCTGCCTCTAGCTTTCACAGACTCATGTGCACATGCCCACACACATACACATACTTAAAAAAAAAAAAGTTAACAGCATGTTAACCTCCGGTCCACTATAAAGCTGTGACACAACTTTAAAAACACAATTACCCCAAACCTAGTTCTTCCTTGATCAGGAGGACAGTCACAGGGCACAAAGAGGCAGAATGTAATCATCAGGATTGGAACCAATGCCACAGCAAGTTTGTCATTCTCCAAATCCTCAAACGGGTGTGTGAAATATAAACGATTATTTATCATAGGATTACATATGATAGCAGAGCCTGTTACTCATCTAAAAATCCATGATGTTCAAATATTACTAAGTGAACCAGTATCTACCTGTGACAGTACAGCCTCTGTGAACCCAGAGCAAAATAGGAAAAATGTGGTGAAGTTAAATATACTTATTTTAAAAGAATGACTTTCATCCACAATATACTAAACTATAGTTTAGTACTATAGTCTCTCTTTTATGAAATTTTGGTGTGGCAATTATTTATTTTAAAAGATTTTTTTGAAGCCGGGTGGTGGTGGTACATGCCTTTAATCCCAGCACTTGAGAGGCAGAGTCAGGTGGATCTGTGAGTTTGAGGCTAGCCTGGGCTACAGACTGAGTTCTACGACAGGCTCCAAAACTACACAGAGAAACCCTGTCTCAGAAAAACAAACAAACAAAAAGAAATCTGAAAGGAAAAAAATTTTATTCCCAGTGCCTTAGGGGAAAATTTACTGCTCCGTGGGATTCAAAAACCTTCAAAGCAGCCGGGCGGTGGTGGCGCAAGCCTTTAATCCCAGCACTCGGGAGGCAGAGCCAGGCGGATCTCTGTGAGTTCGAGGCCAGCCTGGGCTACCAAGTGAGTTCCAGGAAAGGCGCAAAGCTACACAGAGAAACCCTGTCTCGAAAAACCAAAAAAAAAAAAAAAAAAAAAAACCTTCAAAGCATCAACATCAGTGTATGCTCATTAATACCACTTTCATTTGTGCATGTGCCGAACTTACTAGGAAATAACTAACTTAATTGTAAATAAGTCAGCTCATGGAAAGCCTGAATTCTTAACAGGGCCAATGGTTTAGGATCTCTTAGTTTTAATGGAAAACTTGAAGTTTTTTAATACTCACACTTCTCTTTCCTTCAGCGCACTGGGATCTTTCTTTTCTTTCTTTTTAGGCTTTAATCTATCCTTTTCTTTACTGCAAAAAAGTAAATTCAGAGAAGAGGAAAAATGATACAGTTAAAATTTCATTTGGAAGCTCAAAATTTCGACTTGTTGGAGATGTCACTCAGTTGTAGAGCACTAGACCAGTATGTATGAAGCTCTAGGTCCAACCCCATCACCTCAAGTTCCATTCTAATATCTTTTCTTCCTTTTATTTTTTTAAGGCACCAAAGCAATCCAGTTTTGTGAGTTTGTGATGTTAATATTAACATACACTTTGACAGCAAGTAACTACAGTAGGAAGTAGCCTGAAAATATCAAAATTAATCAGACCAATAAACTCAAAAAATTGTTAATGATTAAATTCTAATTATACTGTTAACCTTTTTCTTAGTCAATATTTCTCTTATCAGTGATTAAAATCTAATTCCAAGAGAGTAATGGGGGTTTACTATGATCAAAAGATATTCTATACCTGTTTGAAAACATCATTATGAAACTTATTATGTGTAATTAACATACGCTAATAAAAATCCACTTTTAAGAGCCTGTGAAGAAGTTGGTATTAATCTTCTGAGTACTTCTGAATATCCCAAGCTGGACATGGTAGCCTTCCCAGCACCATGAAGGCAGAGGCAGACAGGATTCTATGAGTTTGAGTCTAGTCTATGCAGCCAATTCCAGGCCAGCCAAGGCTACATCGTGACACCCTGTCTCAATAAGCAACATAAAATCAAACCAAACCAAAAAAGACTCAGATCACCAATACAGGGGAAAAGTTGCCCCACATTCTTTATAAAGGCCTAGGACATTACACACATATAAAATTGAACCCTTAACCACAAAGAAATTATCAGTGGGACACCATTCTTTAAAGATATACAATAAAAATCCACATCAGAAGCTGAAAATAATTCTGAAGGCTTTAATGACCCTTCTCTTGTTCTGAGACTCCTCAACACAACAAAGGCCAGTTTTTAAACAGTTCACACAGTCTTTACTGATGCAGGGAAACTGGTTGGTTCTTCTTTATAATGGGAAATATCATTCTAGTTTCTTCTTCTAATGTTTTGAATCCTTATAATTTATAAAATGGAACTATCTTGGAATTTTCCCATCCTTTCTTTTAAACTTGGGTGTCAGGAATTGGAAACTGAAGACAAGCATGGTGTGACCTTACGGGCTTTTCAACGATGACACCATCCTCTCCACCCCCCAGAATGAGTGACTATAATTCCATGCAATATAGATCTAAGACATAATAAGCAAAACAAAAATAACAAATTTTACTACTTAGCCCGTCGTGATTCCTGTTATCTCTGATCAGTTTAAGAAAGCAGTTGATTCTGTCCACTCACAGTCTCTCATCTCTGAGACTAAGCATTCGCTTCATAGTCGCGTATTTCCTTGTCTTCTTCTGCTTCCCCTTGAAACGGAAATTTTCGAGTTAAAAAGAGTTGGAAACATAGTGCATCCTTCAAAGTTCCCTTCTCCTATTTTTCTTGCCGATTCTCTTTTCTGCCAACACCACCCAGCCCCTCTCCCCACTCCCTAAAACTTAGATTCCTTCGAGCTAAGACCAGAATGGGGAAAAAAAACAACAACACAAGGGAAGCTCCACGGCTATAGTTGGCCAAGCGCTGAGCTCCCATACGCCCGCAAAGAGCTCTGACAAACTTCCTTCTCCCACTCTCCTCACCATGTTCACGCCGCACGCCTGTTTCTTCCGGAATCACTCACAGCGCGACACTTTTACGTCATCAACACACTGCTTCCGGCAAAGGCCAACCCGGAGGCGGAAGCCACTTTGGGAAACGGAAAACCTCCGAACCGGCTCTTAGCGCCGGTTGAGATCGAGACTGGGGACTTCTGAGGGGCGGGTGGAGGGCAGGTTTTGTGCTGGACGCGGCCCCTGCCTCCCCGGACTGCAAAGCTAAGACTTGGCCACGCTGCAGCCGCAGTTCGGGTAACGTTTCCCTTCACGCCCCAGCCACAGGTAGAACCTAGCCGACCCGCAGGCACCAGAGTTCCAGAAGCAGAGCGAGAGAGGGGACGAGGACAGCGGGGTCGGAATCCTGGGCTGCCCCGAAGTTTGCAGATACACTTTGTTTGTCCTCCGGCGCACCAGGGCTCTGTAGTTCAGCCTGGAGCCTCTGGTTATTGCTGGGTTTTCCTTCGCCGGCATAGTACTTCATGAGACTGGGTGGACGATTCTTCGGAAAGAGAAGGATGTAACCCCGCTTGAGGACCCCCCACTCCCCATCGTGTGTGTGTGTGTGTGTGTGTGTGTGTGTGTGTGTGTGCGTGTGTGTGCAAGCACGAGCGTGCAGGTGCATTCAGAGCAGAAGTCAGAAGAAGCTAGTTGTCTTTATCTTGCTTTCCGCTTTTTCTTTTTAAGACTGTCTCACCGAACCTGAAACACCCCCTTCCTCCCCCCTGCTTTGTTGCTAGCTTGCCTGGCCAGAAAGCCCCAGAGATACTTCCGTTTCTGCCTCCCAGCACCGGGGTGACAGACACTTGCCACTGAGCCTGGCTTGCTTTCTACCCAGGTCCTGGGCATCCAAACTCAGGTCTTGCTTGGTCTGCAAGCACTTACTCACTGAGCCAACTACCCCAGTCGGGGCGGCCTTCTGTGGATGACTGCAGGAAAACGGGTGCACAAGCTTGTATGTGCATCTCCTTACCACGCCTCGAATATGGTGGGGGGAACCATTGATACTTGTTATGAAGCCTGGCGTGCCGTTCTTAACCGGACAGGGAGGAATTGTGAGAACGAGAAAGAAAACTTCTGAGATGTTTGTTTTTGTTGTCTGGTTTTTGCTTTTAGAACCTGCTTTGTATTCTAGTTATTCTTAACTATTTAGAGAGATTTCTTTTTACCCCTTGAACATCCGTGGAAAGCCAGGGTCAGTTCTCCTGAAATTGGATGTGTGTATGCATGTACATGCACTCTGACTTGCAGCTTGTGAGACTTCTAGACTGTGTAAACTTCATTTACTTGGCACTTGGACGTTCACAGTACCTGAAATACCTTTGTTTTATTGATGTTGAAGCTATATAGGGTCTTGAAGCTCAGTGGTCTGTTTGGTTCTAAAGCTTGTGTTTTCCTTAGTGCATGATGCTGACCTAGTGTTACTGGCTTAAAAAGATGTTCACGTTAACACTGCAAACAGCAAACAGCGCATTGGTTATTGATCTTCAGAGTTTGACTGGCTGCAGTTTAAACCCTCTTTCATGTTGCTTACTTGCAGTGTATTACTTTGGGCCATCAGTTGGTGCCTCTGTTTCTTCATCTGTAAAGCTGAGATAATCATCATAATACCTGTATTACAGGGATGTCATCAGGACTTGTGTTTTCATACTCATAATCAGTAAGTCCCTAGAAAGCTTACCATTAAGGCAACTCTTTTAGCTGGGTAGTGGTGCTGGCCTTTAATCCCAGCACTTGGGAGGCAGAGGCAGGAGGATCTCTATGAGTTCAAGGCCAGCCTGGTCTACAGAGTGAATTCCAGGAAAGCCAGGGCTACACAGAGAAACCCGTCTCAAAAGACAGAACAAAACAAGAGCAACAAAAAAAGAAAAAGCAACTTAAGTGTTTTCAGTCATTTCATGTTGTGTTTTTCCAACTTGAATGATACGTCATTTGAATGTTGATGTGTTTTTACTGTTTTGAAGTGAGCATATTGGTAAACCTCAGAAAACTTACTAAATTTTCAGGTCTCTGTAACGGGTCATTTTGAGTTGATTTGGATATAGAACTGGTGTCCTTCCTTATGTTTTTTTGGGCACATACCAAGTTCAGATCTTTTTGTAGTTCACATATCTGTGGGTTGCAAATTTTTGGTGTTGAAATAGTTTTATTATTGACACATCTTTAGAAATTGTCTGTACCTCCTGCTTTACCCCCATGAAATTCCTAATCTTTTCAGAACAGTTTGTCTCTGCCTAGCTATCATTCATGGGTAGAGTTAGAAAGAGCCACATTTTTTTCTTAATTGAAACATGTTAGTGATTAGGCATTTAGCCTTTTAAGTAAACATGGTCAGTTTTTTGTTTTTTTTTGTTTGTTTGTTTTGTTTTTGTTTTTTTTTTTGGTTTTTCGAGACAAGGTTTCTCTGTGTAGTTTTGCGCCTTTCCTGGAACTCACTTTGTAGACCAGGCTGGCCTCGAACTCACAGAGATCCGCCTGGCTCTGCCTCCCGAGTGCTGGGATTAAAGGCATGCGCCACAACTGCCTGGCATCATGGTCAGTTTTTTAAAGACCTTTGGAGATTCATTAGAAGTGTGTGTGTGCCTGTGTGTGTGAGTGCCCCTGTGTGCTTGATTGAGAGCACTTGAAGAGAAAATTGCAGCTAGTTAAATTGTAATTTGCATTTAAATGCAGGCACTGACAGAAAAATCCTTTCCTCCAAGTTTGAAATCCATGAACTGTTTTTTTTTTCTTATTTCATTTTAAAGCGGTTTGCAGGTTCTGTTCTGAGAACTTTCTGATCCCTTGATTGTTAATACTTGATAGGGAGCTGAATTAGTGTAGGTACACTGTGGGGGCTGAGGACAGTGTTAGAAAGTGTTTCTGCTGCATTGTAATTTTGTCATGATGAGATTCCTAAGCCTGCGATTAAAGTACTCAGCTATTATACAGCACTCTTTGATAGGGATGGAAGTATTGTGGTTTTGACTGTGTTGGGTAGGAGTAGAAAGTAATCACTTTTGACTCCACACTTTTGAGGAACGGGATTATTTTAGTCCTCCTCAGTGGTTCAGAGGGCCATTGTGTATTTTCTGCATTACTGAAGAGAAAGAGTCTCCGAAGCCATCGATTGAGTCAACAGTTTGAATACTTAATTGGACTTGGACTACTCACTCATTGGTCTAAATACATTTTAAATACAGTTATGACTAGTGGAAGAGCCCCTAGAGAAAGCCTTGTATTTCAAATTAATTTAGAGATATTATTTGTAGTTTCAAACTACAGTTTTGCACTTATCTTTATGGTTCATATGTTGTTCCCCCAATAAGCATTTGTTGCTCCCAATTACTTTTTAATTTAACTTGATTACCTTTAAATGAGGTAGCAGGGCTGGAGAGATAACTTGGGTTTGATTGATGACCCGAATTTGATTCCCAATGTCCACATCTAACAGCTCATAACTGCCTGAACTTTAGCTCCAGGGGGTTTGACAGATTCTTCTGGCCTTCATGAGCTCTCAAGAGCATTCATACACACACACACACACACACACACACACACACACACACACACACACATAAAATAAAATTAAAAATAAATAATCCTTTAAATGTGGTAATATAGGATACAGCATGTTCTCCTAGGTCTTGATATTGGGTTGGTCTGTATGACACTTCAGAGGTACATTACTTCTACATATTTATTTACAAGGCATTTACTGAGAGTCCATTCTGTCCCGGACAATATGCTGGTTACTCTAAAAATTCAGGCTCTCTTGAAGAGTGACTTTTAAATAGTTAAATATTGTGGAGTATGGTCAACTAGAGGTATATAAGTTCAAATAATTTGGAGAAATTACTGCACCTGTTCATCCTTCTAGAAGGGTCCTGGTTAGAGTATTTTGTAATACTTATTTACTATAATCACCATGTCCTATAACAGTTTAGATTTTATGACCTTAGTGAGTTCTAGTACTTTTTTTTCTTTCTTTTCCTTTTTTTTTTTTTTTTTTGAGACAAGGTCTGGTGTATCACAAGCTGGCCTTGAACTTGGTGTGCAGCTGAGGATAACCTAGAACTTTGTTTTGAGACAGGGTCTCTCTACACAGCCCTGGCTGGCCTGGAACCCAATAGATCTGCTTGCCCCTGCCTCCAGTGTGCTGTGATTAAAGTGTGCTCTACCATGCCTCGCCACCTAGAATTTCTTGATCCTCCTACTTCAACCTCCTCAGTGCTGGGATTCCAGGTGTGCACCACCGTACCCAGTTCATGCATTGCTGAGGATCAAATCTCAGTTGCTAGGCGAGCAACTCTACCAACTGAGCTACAACCAGAACCCTCATTTTACCCTTTTAAATGTCTCTAGCCAGTGATTATCTTAGGGTTAAATTTAAGTTATTGTTCTTTGGTGCCATTTTCTTTGAAAGGTTATTGAATATTTACCCTTCATTTTTTATAATAATGTTTCCAAACTTTTGAGGTGGTTTACATATTGTTCTGCATTGTGTATATGTATGTGTCTGTGTTCATATGTGTGTATGCTTACAGCTAATGCATTTGTTTTAGTACAGTTTGCCTGCTATTATTGAAATACTGATATTAATTGCATTTTGTGTTCATTGTACTTTCTGGCCAGAGATCAGATAATTGTAATTTAATAATAAGCAACATCATTTTATGTAATGTGGTAATAGTATTAACTAGTTCTTAATAGTTAATACAGATCCCTCAGTTTTCTCCAGAGTTCTAGCCCATGTTATTTTAGCCCTCATCCACTTTGGGAAGTTCAAATGCAAGCACAGCCTCTGGTGTAAATGGTAAAGCTATTTGGAAGAGAAAGCAGCTGAGACCTCCCAAGTATGAAGCAGTTTTTCACATTTTGGTCAAGAAGGCAATGCAGATGGGCAAATAGTATGTTGAAAGGAGTAGAAAAATGTTAATTGAGTGTTTTAACCTTACATTGCTTAAGGTAGGGCAGTGGTTAGGAAAGCAGCATCAGACTTGTAAGGGACAGTGAGGATATAAAATTAGCCAACTGTATTTAAGTTAAAAAATGGAGTAGTCATTTTAAATTCATAGAAAAGTTTAAGAGAAATGTAGAGTGTTCATATCTGCTTCTCATCCAGCTTTTCTAATGTGAACTCTTACATAACCATGGTACATCTGTTGCAGCTAAGAATTTAACACTGGTAGAATATTATCTACTAAACTACCGACTTGTGAATATCACAGAAATTTCAACTCACCTTCTTTTTCTATGCAGAATCCAACCCAGAA